ACCTAGACGAGCTCAAAACTGTAGTTTAACCTAGATGAGATAAGCTTTTGTAGGACAAGACTAAGTGAGACTTAGTGGCATCGTTCATCAATTAGCAGATAAGTGCAAACCTATTGTGAAGGACACGCAAAAGTAAGCTATGGGAACTTTGTAGTGGAGATAAGTAGTAAACGGTTTTCTAAGCTTATATTACCCAATCTGCCGTGAGCTATACTCTTCAAACTGGTAAGCTACTGGGGGTCTTCCGTTGCATTGGTGAACTATAAAGCAGACTTGAAATGAAGACCATTGAAGACTAAAAATTTGAACTAGAAGATAGAGCAAAAAATAGGGACGAGGAGTGATGCCACAACTGGAGAAAGGAAAATTGGTCAAGGGGACTGTCTTCACTTGTCACTTTCATAGGTTGTAGCTCTGTACCTATGATGACGCCTCTCACTGACGATGCTTGCGGAACGTTTGGGAATGTACCCAGCCAATGCTGGAAATCACGAATACTACGGGACATGGGACTAGGTACGCTCCACATGGTCTCCCTGACTCTCCGACCAAGTTGCAAAAACAAAGTCAAACCAACAATATAAAGCTAAAGGAGATTTCTACAAACAGAAAACCACACCATCTTGGTCTTCATATCTACGATATAAAAATTTGGCTATTTAAGATATCATCATCACGAGAATAGAAAATATTTTCCTACCTACATTTTCTGAATGTAGAGAAATTGCTGATGAGATTTTTCAAAAACCATGGTACCACAAAAGACATTGGTTTCGTATATTAGCTTAAGTAGATTTTGGTATAGCGGTTTATGAAACCACGTCAGACTTTTCAAACTGGTATCAGAATTCCATGAACATTAGTAAATGAAGTAGTACATGAATAATTATAAAGTAGTGAATGAGTAAAAGTATGCATGGCCAAATAGAATCAGACAAGATACGAATTAGATACACCCACCGGATGAAATGCTGCCATTTCTAGTATATCCGTAATGTTCTTTTCGATCATATTTTCGACGGGCTTCTCGATTTTTGAATAGGTAGGGTTTTTCCTTATTACTAAAAATAAGTGCAATAAAATAAAATCATTTAAGGACCTTGTACATTAAAGAGAATTTTAAGCCGGGCATATCGTATAGTCAAGTGTAAACCGCAATGATAAAGAGTAGAGTTGTGATTCAATCAGATTTCATAGGATTTACGATAAATAAGCCGTATTGGCATTTTAAGAGTCCCTGTCTAGGATGAAGAATAAATAAATCAATATAAAGACATACTAAGCTAGTACTTGCCGATTATAGCGAAAAATACGATTAAATGAAATACATAAAGTCAATCCTCAGGTGATTGGTATAATCTCAAGTGAAAGCGATAAACCAAAATTATATTGTAGATATGAAGACGAGGATGATGTCACCTTCCGTTTGGTCGCAGCCGCATTTAACTTTGTAGTGTTAATTCAACCTTAGTTTCGCAACTAGGTCGGACCGTCAGGAAGACCTTATAAAATGCGCCGTTCTGCGTCCTATCATAGAACTAGTGATTTCCAAGATCGGACCACTGATATGATACATTTCCGGACGTCTTACGGGCATCATCAGTAATAGACATCATCGTTCGTAGAGTTACAACATATCAAAGTGACAAGTGAAGTCAATCCCCTCGATTAATTCTCTATTCTACCACTGTAGCCTCACTCTTTATCCCAAGTCTTTTTCTTACCTTATAGTGCTGCATCTCCTTCTCTTAACCCTACTTCACATCGCCGATTAACCAATTCACGACATTCTGCGCTCTCATTTCCTCCAATGTCGCCTGAGTGTCACTACAAGTGGAGCTGGTGAGGCGCAATCCCTAAATACACTTCTGAATAAGTAAATCGATTCCATTAAGTGTGGTTGAGAGAAAGAGATGAATCCCTAGAAACTAGGACAAAAAATAGGGACAAGGAATGATGCCACACAGTTAAACAGAAAATTATTAAAGGGGTTGTCTCTATCTGCCAATAACTATGTCCCAACGATGGTGCCTCTCAATGCAAAGCCGGTGAAATGTCTGAGAATGTACTAAGTCAATGACCCGATGCTGGAAATCCCGAATACTATGGCAGAGGACGCAGGAATAGACACGTACCACAAGGTCTTCCCAACGCTCCGACCAAGTTGCGAAACCAAGAGCAGACCAGCAACCAAAATTATAGTGGTTGTTTGACCTTGTTTTAGCAATTACTATAGAACGAAAGGAGACTGCGACCACACAAAAGACCACATCCTCTTGGTCTTCATACCTTCGATTAAACCCAAATTGCATATCGTTTTCGTATATAATGCTTTGTCAGATGTCAGAGACCGGGAAATAGGGTGTCGAGTCTTCAAATACATCGATGAGATGATACATTTTAAAGGCCTCAAATTAAATATAATCAAGGACCGGATATGATGAGCACCCATATCGAATGTAACCTAAACTTGATGGCATTTTAGTTCGAATTCGCAATTTGGTTTCATAATAAAAAGGAAGATTGCCATATAGAGTGCACTATACTTAACATAAATGAATCTACCCCATACTAGTCCTAAGGTCAAGATGAAATGTTATTGGTATGAATTCGCTAAATCGTGGTTCTAATATGTCAGGAAGTATAACACGTGAAAGAGAAAATCTCTGTGCAGGTTCACTAAAATTGAACGGTTCTACAACTAAGACTATTACAAATAAAAAACTAAAGCAAAATGCAAGCCACTTTCTTTTAGTCTATCTACGCCATTCAACCCAAATTTTGAAAATAAATGGCTTAGGACAGGCCCTTGCGCAATGTACGAAAAATACCTGGAAATAAAGAGAGTTCTAATATTGAATGGAGCACTTTATTTTGCTTCCCAATATCATGTTGCATTTGATGTATTGTAGATTGAAGAGCAGTGGCAGCTTTACCAGCATCAATAAAAAGCTTGTAATTTGAGTAGATGGCCTGTTTGACTTTTGTTGACGATTCAACGGAAATCCGCTGGAGTCCATGAATAGTACGCTCCACATCCAATTCTCCATTGCGACCGACAGTCTTGACAACTGAAATAGTATTGATAAAAGCGATTTTCAAAGATAAATTTGCAATGTAAATAACAGTGCCTTAATAGGTTTAGTAAAGAAGTAAATGACTAAACAAATTTTTTAAGCGTTCAGTAATCGCAAAACAATTAGTATTTTCATGAGAATAGACTACATAATTTTAGAATAAAACTTAGGCAACACCTTAGACAATATTAAAAACAGCAATACTAAATAGCAACAAAATCATAACAAAGCGAATTGGGTTACACAACCACGCGAATAAGTCAGGTGAGCCAATGCAGTGAAGAGGGCTAGGTTACAAATATTTATAAATTGCAAAAAACAAGGAACTTGAAAAGGGATTATAAAGTTAGTAGTAATTATATTACACTTTTCGGGATCAAAGTTTTGTTTGGCAAGGACGCGTCGAAGGCCACCATCCTCGGAAACACTTTTTACATCCATGATATATGAAAGACTTAACTGATATCAGCGCCCAACCCCACAGACGATTAAATATTTTTAGCTCAACTTTAGTTTTTTAAAATTCATCTTTAAATTATCCTATAAAAAAATAAAATAAATATTTTTGTACAATACAGTTTAATTAATGATTAATTTTTATATATACATTAATTTATAAATCTATTTTGCCACTAAGT